CCCGTCTCTCGTCTCTGAATTGACCACCCTCCTTCAAGAGATTTGATGCACAGAAAGTATTCCATCCGATTGAGGCCGAACGCACTGAGCAAACTACCGAGGGATCAGCCTTCTATGTGTAGAGTTTAAAGTGCTAGCGCCCTGCTTTTACGGAGGATCAGTAGAGTACGCGAACAACACATACGTGAAGAACAGGCTGGGTTTCGCCCAGGTCGGAGCTGTATTGATAACATATTTATGATCCGCCAGACGCTTGAGCACATCGTGCTTTCAGTCGGCCTACCATCGTCTGCTTCCTTGATATACGTGCAGCATTCAACTCAGTTGACATAGTTGCTCTTTAAAGTTGTCTGCTGAGAAGGGGAGTGCAAGTGTAGTATGTTAACATACTTTAAGCAATTAATTCTCGAACCTAGGGCCGAGTGCGGCTGTACGGCGGACTTTCGCCTGACTTTATAGTCACTAGTGGCGCAAGACAGGGGTGCCCCGCATCACCCTTCTTGTTCAATTTCGCTATTGAGAACATCTTAGAGACAGCCCTGGAAAACTGTGGGTCTAGTGGCGTCGAGGTATTCCTGGATGATCGAATCAGTGACTTGCAGTATGTGGACGACATCGACTTAATCCGTGACCGATCCCTGGTTACCCAGAACATGCTGTGCAATTTGGAGATGTCTGCATTACAATTCGGCATGAACTCTGCCCCTTTCAAGTGCAAATTCTACGTCCAAGACTGGTTAGAAGCTGCACCTACCCTCACCCTCTCCGGCTCTCCTTTAGAAGTGGTCGACAAAATCGTTCACCTCGGAAGTTGCATCAGTGTGAGCGGATTGACGGATGAGATCCAATTGCGCATCACCAAAACCAGAGTAGCCTTTGCTAAGCTCCGAAACATCTGACACCTTTTTAAAAAAAGTAGGGTTGAGAACGCTACAGTATGATCAGTGCTCTTGTATGGCTGCGAAATCTGACCTGTTCGATCGAGTGATGTACAAAGAGTGTCTGTTTTGATCACCGCTGCGTCCGAAGCATCGCTGGTGTACGTTGGCAACATCACATTAACAATGACGACGTTCACCGTTGGATCTTCAAGTGAGATAGTCTCCGCCGACCAATAAGGTGGGTAATTTCCATGCGTGCGTTTCAGTGGCTCCAGCACATCTTTCGCATGCCTGCTCATCGGTTGCCCTACCGGGCTTTGTTTGCATGCGCCGGCGTTCGTTGGAAGCGACGGAGAGGTGACCAATATACAACCTGGGTCCGCCGTGTTAAGATGCTGACACTGCAGTTAGCCACGGTGGGGCGTTCCAGATTCCCCGGTTGGGGGGCAATGACAATGAGCACACCTGGTTGGATAAGCCAACGGACATAGCCCGGAACAGTACGCAATGGCGAACGTGTTGTTAGGCTGTTTTCCCCTAACTACTTTGTTTTTTCTTATTGTTTCCCATGTGTCGTGCTTCTATGCCGAACAGCCTCCTCGTGATGCTAGCAGGGTGGTTCGGGTTTTCCCGGTTCCAGCAAATGGTTCGGCGTAAGTGTTCCAGGAGGTAGTAAGCTCTCGCTTGGCATGCATTCTCCTTCTAAAAAGCCACAAACGTCCGTCTAACACGGAGATGTGGCTGACGACTCGCTATAAATAAAGTCATTGCCCCTTGTCTCTCCCTGAATGGCAATGTTTTCACAAATGCGTTGGATCCATGGTCCTTCACGGACCGAAAGGCACATGAAGCATTTGTATGGTCATCGGCTCCCAACACCTTGCAACGCCCTTACACCGCTCTGTCGCCTTGTAGGTTAGATTTTCGACCAAGAGCTACATGACCTTCTGCGTTCCTCCAAGAGGACTGATATTGTCAATCATGCCGGAGACATTAACGCACGAGTGGGCCGTCTTCCACCAAGCGAGCACCACCTTGGGTGTACTTTTAGCCTCGGTAGCAGTCGATCGGATAAAAAAAACTCCAAGCACTCCGTAATATATGCCCAGCTTTCAAGGGAGGCTCTCGGTCAGAAGGCGGCAGTCATAGAGGAATCAGCCTGATATCAATTGTCTCTCCAAGTTACTAGCCAATGTCTTCCTTCATTGACTGCACGGCACCTGTGAAAGCAAGATTCGCGAGGAGCAAGCCGGGTTTCGTCGAAATAGAGGTTGCAGTGAACATATGATCAAGTTTCGTCAATTGCTGGAGCACCGCTCTGTTTATTGTCGACGTACCGTAGTAGAGTTCCTCGATATCAAAGGGACATTCGATTCGGTTGATCGATATGCCCACTGGGACTGTATACTCAGAAAAATATGTCCGAGAAGTATGTAAACAATATCTGAACGCTATACGCGCGTAGCTCTGGCATAGTGAGGGTTTACGGCAAGCTTTCACCGCCGTTTAGTATCTTCAGTGTTGTGAAACAATGTTGCTCGCTGTTACCTTTCCTATTTAACTTCGCCATTGACGAAGTCATAGAAACGCATTCGCCGGACACCATTTAGGTGGGGAGCTGTTCCCAGGTGATCGATTTCTTGATTTTGGTGTACGCCGATGACGTTGCACTCATCTGTGACAGCTCCCAAACGTGCCAAGTTGCAGTGGATAAATTAGCTCTGGCTGTCAGTCGTTTCGGGTTATGCTTTGCATACACGAAATGCAAAGTCCTTCTCCGAGATTGGCAGAAACCAACTCCTGCAATGACCCTTGGTGGTGATCAATTAAAAGTCGTCCAGAAACGTAGCTGGGCAGCTATATTAGCGCCCTCAAGATTGTAGATGAGGTCAAGAAACGTTTAGAGAAAATATGAGGAGCATTTGCTAATCTCCGCCACCTGCAGCGCCCGCATGATATCATTCTCGCTCTGAAGGAAAGAGTTTATAATGAAGCGACCCGTACAACCTACCTGTACGGTTGCGAAAACTGGTCCAGGCATGAGAAGGCTTGTTACCTTCGACTATCTATGTCCTCGCAGCTTAGCTCATGTTTGGTGGGAACACCGCGTGAGCAATGAGGGTGTTTGGCGTCGCGTATTTGTTACGGTAAAAGCGAGTGAACCACTCAGCATCGTGATATCATGCATCAGGTTCAGATATCTGAGTCACATGTTGCGCATGCCAGCACACCGACTCCCGCGTCGTGCGTTGTTTGCGCGCTAGGGGTGTGGAGTGAAGAACAGGGGAGGACAAGAGATGACTTACCTAAGAGGAATGAAGTCCTCACTTCGAACTTGACGTCAGTTGGTGTTTCCCACCTGCTGGGGTGGGGTCCGAAGATTGATGAACACATTCGATTGGGTACATTAGCTCATAGGGCGAGGAGCCGACCTCAATAACGTTTGTGTTGTGAGTCTCTTTCTTCCTCCCATCCTCTTTAATTTACCATGCAAACATCGATCATAAACTAAGTGCATAATGTGATTTTAGCATTATGTTACGTTTTTAGCTTCTGTAGTATGTAATGTTAAATATCTTGAGTTTTTGTATTGCGGAACATTAACTGTTTCACATCCTCGTTTAACGCGTATTGATAATGATAATGACCGAATGCAAAGAAGAGGAACGGAGGCTACGTAGGTCAACTTAGTTGGAGAGAAAATGGAGTTCGACCCCGATGATCAGGCAGCTTGAAGGTGGGAAACTTGCTACTATACGAATAACGGAACATTTAGCTGGGTTAATGAGCAGCAGCCGTAAAGTAGACCAGTTCCAGAGGCAATCCAGGACATGTTGAATGGCCTCAGGACATCCAGGGTTATCTACACTAGTTTATAGCTTAAGGTCATCAGCAAATAATAGCGATGATACTCCAAGCTACCCAGAGAGATTGTTTAGCTAGATGGAGAACAGCACTGGTATAAAGACCGAGCTCTGTGGGACGACCGCAGACACAAAAATGTGGAGCCAGTTCTTTTGCTTCCGCAACAGCATCTGCACCAAAGTGTCCTCCGAATGTCTTTCAATGGTCTCGCCAGTGCGTTGCAGGACATCGAGAGTCAGCTTCTCTCCGTTTTTTCCTGTACAGCTGGGCGGAGTAATGTAAGTTTTTAACCAGTAGGTATATTTTACATTTCTTGCCACGCTCTAGTTGACTTCGGCGATTTTAGAAGCGTTGTGAGTGGCTCGGTCGAACACAAACTTGGTAGGAATATCTTTCTGCGTTAATGATGTTCGCTTGTACTGTCCCTGCCTCGTCGTTCGTCGTTCACTTTGGTCGGTTCGTGAAGCAGTGGTTGAGTGAAGGTAGAAAAGGTTTGGTGGGGTCATAACAGCCTACATTGTCCCCATCGCCGCATAACTGCACATGTTTAATAATAATTATACTGTGTCATCTGTACGCCGTAACGGCGCTTCGCTGCCGCGCGATCTCCACCAGTCGGGCGTGGGCTCAGTATAGCGCGAGAACGCCCGCCTCTAAGCAGATTCCAACCGGTGACCTTATGATTGCAAGCCAAGCGTGAAGTGCACTCGGTCACCGGCCGACCTGCATAGGTTTACACACATACAAACACAATACGCGAAGACCGATAGGGAGACAAGGGAAACCAGGTCGCTGCTTTTGGTCATTTTATATACATTATACACATCAGCTAGAGGTGGGAAACACCTCGGCTACTGTGCCGCGAAGGGGCTTGTACTAGAGTCTGCTGCATGTACAAATCGGGTTACGTTAGCCAGACTGCAATGTTGTCTGAGCACCATCAAGTCACCCTACCCACCAAAGCTTACTAACAAATGGCCGATTTTTTGCTTAAACAGTGTCCAATGTGGCCTTTGCTTTATATCATGGGAAAACCACTTTTCGGTTAATGGAAGAAAGATGAGTGAGGGTTGTTCACAATTTTCCTACATGTTAGGCGAGTAACTGATAGACGTTTCCTAAGAAAAAAATTAGGCTATATTTCGACCGGTCACCGTGCATCGGAGCTTTGCGTACAAGGTATGCCGTTCAAGTGAGAAATGGAAGAGTGTAATATGTAGCAGCTATTCGTGTCGCATTTAATGAGAAACGTACCTTCGCTGAGTGGTGGAGTTTTCCCCATGTTGAAATAAAAGTTCTCACGAAGTTTTCTTTCACCTATAGCATTATCCATATGAAGTTCAACAACTCACTTCTTTTTAGATCAGGAACAACCTTATATACGATATCCTGGAGCGTTCGATCAAAACTGATGTAGTTGAGGGGGTGACTTTGATGTATGAGTATTCCACATGAGGGGCAGTTGTACTTGTCTTGCAAATACTTTACGATGCAAGATTTGCAGACTGAAATTGCAATACTAGAACAAAGTACATACACGGGTGGAGGCATTCGGTGATCGATACAGCGTCTATTAGGTATCCGTTGCACAGGCTGCAAGTAATGTATTCGTTGAGGTCGCACAGAAGGATTTTGGGTTCATTTTTGTTTCTGCTCATTACTTGATAAATTTAAGAAGTGAACAACCGCTTCCAAATGATGTTCAATGGCCTCAGACATTTAGGGGAATGAGCATAGGCACCCGTTGGGTCGGCGTCAGCTAAGCAAGGCACGCATAGAAATGTTCGGTGACGATAAACAAAGTGCAGTGTGCGTCCGGTCAAGGATTACAAGAGCTTTCGTGTCTAATGCGTATGTAGGTCGTAATAGACCTGAGAAGCTGAAACGAAAGACGCATAGTTCGTATGTGGTTTGGTAGTTTAATAAAACTACTTAGCAACAGAAGGAACTGGACGGAAGATGCACCTGACCAACACTGTCGCGGGATGGATGCCTTCGTCACAGCTGTCAAAAGAAGATCAAACTGAGGTGATTGATTGGAGCGAACAAGCACGAGAAACGGCTGCTCTAACAATGAAAACGAAATGAGGAGGTAGACAAATGTAACAATAGAATATAGACGATCTCTTACAGGCTGGCTTGGTACAAAGACACTTCCTGATCTGTAATATATGCAGCCAGTCAAGGATTACGTAGGTGTAGAGCGGAACTCAGGTTGTGACAAAAACTAGTAGGAACGCCTACGGATACCGATTATTCAGAATTGTGAAGGTTACCGGACTTAACATGCCTGTTATCACCTTTCCTATTTAACTTCGTCATTGACGAAGTAATGGAAACAGCGTTCGCTGGACACAAGGTACAAGGCGTGGAGTTCCTTCCTGGTGAACGACTTCTTAACTAGGAATATGCGGACGATATTGCCCCATATGTGACAGTGCCCAAACGTGCAAGCAGCACTGGACCGATTAGTACTGGTTGTCAATCGTTCTGGACTATACCTTGCTCCATCGAAATGCAATGTTCTACAAGATTACCAGGGACCCACCCCTGCGCTAACCAACGGTGGCGATCAGATAGAGGTCGTTCAGGAATTCAAGTACCTGGGCAGCAATATTAGCGCCCGTGGGATCGAAGATGAGATTACGGACCGCATAGCAACAGCCCGAGGAGCTTTTGCCAATCTCCGCCACCTGTGGCGCAGACGCGACATTAATCTCGCCCTGAAAGGTAGAGTTTATACCGCAGTAGTCCGTTCAACCCTCTTATACGGTTGTGAAACCTGGTACATCAAGTCAACAGACATAAAGAGTCCATAAATAATCCCCATTTGAGTCAGAAGTAAGCGAGTGCGCGAAGAATATTCTTTTCGATAATTCTCATCAGGCGAGTACAATTATGAAGCAAAACGTTTGGAGAGAATAAAGCCCGTAGAGGCCTGTACAGAGAGCAATCAACTAATTAACTAGGCAATATGAAAACTAAATCAATGGTTTGATCAATCGGATTGTCGCATTAGGAAGCAGGTGATCAAGGAAGGTCAAGTTAGGAAGCAGGTGATCAAGGAAGGTCAAGGCCAAGGCAATTTCAGAGCCTGTAGCAGTGTGCGCTGTTTGCACAGCTCTGGTTTTAGAACTTTGATAGCAATAGCTTCAGAAATGCTCAATAAAAGTTTCTTCAGCTGTTTTGGGTATCGTTTAGGGATGGTATAAACGACTCGAAACGACTGGTTTATCTGGACTTGGTGTCCAGTGTCGACCAAGTGTTGTAATACCGAACTGTTGATGGATTTTACCGTGCCATTTCGTAGTGACGCAGGACAATGCTCAGCGATTCTTTTGGACAAACACCTGGTCGTATGTCCAAGATACCTAGCACCACAGGTGCAGGTGAACTGGTATAAGACAAACGATTCGGACCGAACAGGGAGTTTATCCTTTAAGCGCTGAAGGATCAATGGTCTTGTTTCGGCAAGTAGTTTTAGGTTGGCCGTTGGAAATGTCTTGGTCACTGCGGTCGAGATTTTTCTATTCAACAGTTCGAACGCGACGTCACCTTTAAAGGGAACGGTAAGGAATACATCCTTTTTGGGAACTGTAGCGACACATTTGACAGCCTCAAGCGGTTTGGAATGCTTTTTGATGAAAGGTATGGGGTATCCATTTTCTTGCAGCGTGTTAAAGATGAGCTTGTTTTCGCTTTCAAGCGTCTCTGGACTGCAGATTGCTCTGGCACGATGGTGTAAGCAACGGACTAAATTCCTCTTGTATCTCAGCGGCACAAAGCTAAGAAAGTGGGTGTATTGACCTACCCACGTCGCTTTGCGAAAAACACTCCTTTTGATAGTCCCGTCTTCACGCCGATGCAATAGAACGTCTAGGAACGCCAAGCGGCCATCTTGCTCAACTTCACTGGTGAATTTTAATGATGGATGCACTCTGTTAAACTGATCTAATAGGGTTAGGTAATCGATGGAAGAGTCACAAACAATGAAAGTGTCGTCCATGTAACGGTAGTATAAATCAAATGAAGATATAAGGGTGTTCAGTTCTCCACGTTCAAGCTTTGAAAGGAAGATGTCGGCCAAAAGTGGGCCTAGGGGAGAACCCATTGCAACCCCATCTATCTGTCTATAATAGATTCCATCAAACAGAAATTGTACGTTGAAGGTGCAACGCAGAATCAATTCTTTTAATTTATTCACCGGAATTCCAACATCAATGTTTCTCTCCGTGATGAAATCACAAATGAATGTCACAGTCTCTACCAGCGGCACGTTCGTGAAAAGTGATTCTACATCAAACGAAAGCATTAATTTATCCTTCACGTTTAGGTTTTCTATTCGGTTGACAAAATCAAACGTGTCTTTGACCGTATGAATCGACAACTCTTTTCGAACCGGTTCCAGCAACTCTGTTATCCACTTTGCGACAGAGTGAAAAGCTGAAGTAGACATATCCACTATTGGTCGCATCGGAACGTTTGTTTTGTGCACTTTTGGCAAACCATAGAGTCGCGGAGGGTGTGAGCCGCATGGGGTCAGCTTTGAGAAGAGTGCATCATCTATGTGCTTCGACTTCCTTAATTCTTTCAAAATGTTAATGATTTTTGCTTCTTCTTGCGAGGTGGTCTCTTTTTGAATTGCGTCTCGTCGGAATTTGTTGGTGTCGTTCAGAATTGTTGTCAGTTTAGAGATGTAATCAGACTTGTTCATCAATACCCAGCCAGATCCTTTGTCTGGTCGGGAAAGGATTAGTTCTGGGTTGGATAACAGCTCCTTGATTGCGTCACGGTGCTTTTTTGTTAAGATGTTAGATGTTTGAGACTTAACATTCCGATACTGGTGGGCAAGATGTACTAACGTGGTCTTAAACGTGTCAAGTGCGAGTGAAGATGAAGGTGTTAAACCAACTAACTGGTTCATTAAATTCCCAAATTGGGTCTCCAAATGAATTTGCCCGCATTTCGGTTGGGAGAGGCAGAATTTTGGCCCAAGTGCCAATGCTTCTAAATGTAGCTGGTTCAGTTGCTGGCTAGAGAGATTATGCACATATCTATCGGGATTGGCGGGGAACTTTGTTTCAGATGAGCAAGGTTCCAAGCTTTTGAGCAACTTAATGTATCGCCTCTCTTTCGTCTTTTCGCATATATCTTGCAAATAGCCAAGAAAAGATTCGCGGTGCTCACTGCTGAGGTCGTCCATCACCGACGAGTAGAGGGTACGCAATCGTTCCAGTTCAGGAAGTCGAGATTGAATGGCTTCCAGCTGACTATGAGCATATCTTTTGAGAGACTTGGCATTTGGACGAATGTGAATTCGTCGGAGCGATTTCCAATAAGTCTTTGGATACTGGTTACGTTCTATGCAATCACGTTCGACGATCGCTGCCTTCGCAATTTAGCTCATGTCTAGTGGGAGCACTGCGTGAGCAATGAGGGTGTTTGGCGTAGTGTATTGGTGCAGGAAGAGCAAAGGAACCGCTCAGCACCATTATATCACGCATCAGGCTCCGATGGCTAAACCATGTGTTGCGCATGCCAGCACACCGCTTCACGCGAGGTGCAGTTGGAAGAGGAGGAGGGGAGGCCAAGCAATGACTTGGTGGAGAGGAATGAAAACCCTCACTTCGAAGTTGGCGTCGGTTGGTGCATACCGGCAGCCTGGCTGGGGTCCGAAGGATGACGAACACGTTTGGTTGGACACACTTGCTGATATGGCGAAGAGCCGGTTCCGGTGGAGTTTTTATTGTTTCTTTGTGCATAGCCTCCCTTTAAGATTCTCCCTCCAATTCTGATAAAACACGAATTTTTTGTAGTGTGACTGCTTGTAACCTACTTTTTTGTATCGCGGCACATTAGCTGAGGTGTGTTTCTCGCCCTCAGCTAACGTGCGCTGATGATGATGACGATGCACATGATGATACAGAGCTGCAATGAACTGGAAGCAGATTAGCAAGAACACAAAGCAAGGTAGCGCATGACACACACAGAATTTGAAAGTGAAGGTGGTGTACAATTGGTAAAACAAGTGGATGATCAGAAGACAAACGACAATAAGATCCATTGTCACAAAATATTGAAAGCGTGTTTCGTGTTCACTACACAGTTGGTCGCAACATATGAGTGCTGCAATGTAAAGTGAAGCAAATACACCATAGGAGCTTAGACAGTTGCATCACAAAAAAGTTAGTCATCATGATCAATACACATTAGCTAGAGGTGGGAAACGCACCTCTGCTGTGCCACAATACAAAAAAGATAAAATAGTAAACATTACAGCCTACAAAAACCAGAAGCACAAGTAATACAATGTTAAATATCATCTTACGCATTGGGTATGAGATCGTTGTAGCACGGAGAGGGAGAAAGAAACTCAACACAAACGCTACTGAGTCCGGATCCTTGACATGTAAAGAAGTTTATCCAACAAAATGTGTCCATCGGCTTTCGGACCTTAGCCTGACAATCGAAACACCAACCAACGCCAACTTCTAAATGAGCTATTTTATTCCTCTCGATCTAGTCATCGATTGTCCTCCTCTTCTCTTCTTATATCCACACCCCGGCGCGAAAACAACGCACGACGCACGAGTCGGTGTGCCGGCAGGCGCAATACGTGGCTCAACCATCAGAGTATGGAGTGTGATATCAAGATGCTGAGTGGTTCACTCACTTTTACTGAACTAAATACACGCCGCCGAACCCGCTCATTGCTCACGCGGTGTTTCCACCAGACATGAGCAAAGATGCGATAGACATCACACCTGAGGTAAGATGCGCATAGCTAACACTTCGCAGCGAACTGGATGCAGTTGTTCCAGCTCCCGAGAGCGCATCCTGCCTGAGCAGAATGAATGGTCAGGTTTCAAGGACGATACAG